TCAAATATCCAATTTCTGTTGTGAAGAGCACAAACATCAGTGGACTGACAGTGTGACTAGTGTGAAGACCATTGCTACAAAGTCACTGAAGTACCTGAGGCAAAGAAGATCTTCTGGGCTCTTTCTCATCATCTTTCTCATCAAAATGATTTTTGAAGTTAAGATTTCATGACCTTCAAGGTCCCTATGTTTTACCCAGGAACTCTTGAACGTCCCAGCTTAATGCCTCACAAGTTCTTTATAAGAACATTGCACAAGGAAAAGAGACGAAATTAGCTTACCAGTTTCTTTAACTCTTTTAACTCTTCTTACTTCACCACCCAAGCATCATCCCAGCATGAAGCTGATCACAGGAACTAGGCAGCCACTAATCATGTTTCAGGCACAGCCTTGTTTCTTTATCAATATATCAATGCTGAATCAGAGTTGAATGACACTAATTGCAGTACGTGGCGTGACTGCAAAAGGCCTCAGGCACTCAGGGCAAAAAATTGCCTGTACTGAAGTCAAAGATCTTTGCAACTGCTTTCAGGAGTCCCAGGGTTAAGAGCATTATGGTTTTCATAGTATTCTTAATTTTGGTCTGAGGCACAGACTCTTTCAGCCCCTGACATTTCAGATCAGGCAATGTAATAACCATCCTCCAGATTGTTACATTTACTCCTAAATGGTCCTGAATTTTAATAAACCTGTAGGTGTGAGAGGGCATGAAGCTCTTGTCCCTGGCTAAACCCTTAACTGTGTGTTTGAGATTTCAACTAGTTTAAGATAGGATTTATCAGTATTACTATTTCTTTCAGTCACGCAGTGAACCCCAGTACAGAAGCTTCTGTATGATTCCCTGGCACTGAAGTAATGGCACTTACAGGTAAACAATGAGAACAGGGGAAGATGTGATGTAAAAAAAAAATCTGTAATATTTTACATAGCATAGGCTCACATTTTCACACGCATCTAGGTAAACAGGAAGCCCACAGTTATTTTCTTGTGAGCTTGATGTGCTTACAGCCCTGAAGCCTGAACTGTGCCGGAGTCAATTTTAAAAATGAAATTCAGGAACCTATGTTAATAAAAAGAACAGATTCCTTATAAAGTGGCTTAGGTTTCTGACTTTACATGTTTTCAAAAAGATTTGTGCAGCCAAACAATTTGGGTATCCATGCTTCATATTTAGCCACAAGGATGTTGTAATCATGAAGAAATCTTTTCAGGTCTTGCCCCTCAGTGTTGGTCTTATGTTCATAAAATAACATTTATTTTTGCAAAAAATGAGAGATATTAAGATAGAAATTCTCCAAGTGCTTTGAAGAGAGTCTAAAAACTATGCATTTACTGGGAGCAGAAGGAGGGGCTCCTAAGAAGCATGATTTCAGCTTTCAGGGAGTATTGGGCCAATACTTTACTGTATCTTTGGGGATTAGAATAGAGGTGACTAAGGGCAGGTCCATTCAGTTATGGTATTCCTGGTATAACTGGAAGATAATGAGCGTGAGACGTTAAATTTACCCATAGCATCCTTACATTGATTTAGCATCTAAAAAGTCTTTTCATTTTTTAAAATACACAGCCAATTGTAACATTCCAGTACTAAAATGAAAGATATAATTCTTCTAGTTATATTAACTTTATTTAGCTATTCTTAATTTTATATAACTTTAATTTATCTTAAAATAAAGATGTATACTTTTCAAATACAATATTCCTTGACATGGCCAGTTTATTTTCTTTTTCTTCCAGTTGATTTTAGATCATCATATTAATACCATTTGCTTACTGACCTCTCACATCAGCTTTTACAACAGCTTTCAAGAAGGTGACTGATTTCATGGTTCAGAGCAATGATGATCCTTCAGAACAAAGGTTTGAAGCCAGAGATAGTTGGAAAAGCGCAGATAGCATAAAAATATAAATATATATCCCTCCCACAAAAATACCACCTCTTTGTGTCAGAACAGAATAGTCATTCTTTAACACTTTGTATAGAATTTAAGAAAACATCCCTGAACCTATTTGTTTTTCCGAGTTCATACCCAACCATTTCCCTGCAGGCTGATTTCACACTATTATTCCAGTGAGTGACTGTGTCTTCGATGAAATGATCTGTTTCCTTGTGCTTTAGGCTTCCTCTTGGCCGTGGAGTGTTACTGTAATATGAAAAATTATGACATATTTTTCTTTTATAGTGCTCTCCATATTGGATATATTGACAAGTAGGTGTAAAGTGTCTTCTGTTTGCTAGCTCCTTTGTCAGCTGCTGTGGGCATACCCTTGACTGCAAGCTCCCCTTGCCCAGTCAGATTGCTGTGCCAGTATTTTCCTTGACATATACATATAATATAAAACTGGAGCGCTGACATCCCGGGCACGTTGAGTTTTTACAGACCAAGAGGGGGTGGAACAGCAAGGCACAGAAAATCCACTATACATGCTAACATTTAGGCGTTATCCTTTATTAGGTAGTGAGTAAGAGACATAAAAAGAATTGAGTTTGTTGTTTACAGCTGAAATTTAAAAGAGACTTGTGTGAACAAAAACTTGTTCCATAGAGCACTGTGACAAAAGAGGTCCAAGAAAACTGAAGGTGTCATTGCAAATTAGCTGATGTAAGTAGTTGGAATGACACTCTTTTTATTTCTAGCAAAACTTGTATTAACTCTGCCTTTAGTACTGTGCCTCCATACATGCCACAGGCCACATTTGGCAAGGATCAGCCTGTTGATTTTGATGGCATCACAACAACATGGCAGGATGTACAGCAGGTGTCCACGCACCAGAAGGCCGTGCATAAGAGCCTACAGGATATTTGTGGGTCTCCCCTTTTCCCATCCACGTGTTTTTTCATGGGGAAAAGATCGCCTGCCCAGACCTTCTCCCTTCCCAGAACACCAGTCCTCCTCTGCTCGTTTAGCAAGCTCTTACTTACATGGGCTATTACAAAAGGCTCTGGAGATAAATGGTGTTTCACGGAGCACAGCTTGAAAACTGGCATCCTATTCAAGGAGGAATCTGAACACAGCTGACAATGGCACTACAACTTCTTCAAAAAGATGGAAGGTTGCAAGCAGGCTTAAAAGACCAAGGCCAAAATTTTGCAAAGAGGAGTTGAACCTTACTACACTATATTTATGTACCCAAATAAAAGGAAACATTTTCTAAATTGAGTGTTAGGCGCAGGTTTTGAAGGCTGGCCTGTTTACTGACTCTTTACTGGGAGCTGTAGAGTAGGGAGCCCTTTTAAATGTCAGCCCCTAGTTATTTAGGTGCCTAAACTTGGCTTCAGGAACTTGCTCATACTTTTCTTGTTTTGGAAACTGGGTAAAGCAATCCAGCTAGTAACCAGCCCTGAAATCACCATTGCATCTTTTTCATGGCTACATAGGAGTGAATTAAATATAAACAAAAGCCCATTTCATTTCAAGGCACAAACTTTTGCAAATAAACTGGATGAAATACAAATACATCATATAGAACTTATTTTAATACTTCTAGATAAATAAATGCATCTCTTTGGAATTCTTTGGACACAGACATCCATGGAACCTCTTCTTTCTCTCTTTTTATATATTTTTTGTATAAAATCTAAATGCAGAGAGGTTTAAAAAATGGCAAATACCAATGTATATGGAAGGCTCACTGATGAACTGCAAGTCAAAAGTGCTGTATATTCCCATCCTCTGTATCTCCCAACTGTCCATGTTAACCACAGGCAGTATTATATAGCAACCACATGGTCAATATTTTGCATTACTACATTTTAATAAAATCTTTCAAATAATTTCCCCATCTAAACTTAAATTATGTTTTAAAATTTTATTCCTCCTAAATGCATGGTAGGCATTTCACTTAGCTACACATCAGAGTGGTCGCATGTGACTCAGCAGCGCACTCCATAATATTAATAGATACTTTTCAGCTCCCTATGGGAAAAAGCAGGCAGCAAGAATCAGATTCAAGAAGTCTATTTTTTTCTCTGCTGTTTGTTACTTACCACTTAATGACCCACATGTGAAACTCAATGGTTATATAATTATTTTATATAGTAGATTTTCTGTTTATAAGTTATTTTCTTACTCTAACATATATACAATATATCTATGTATACCCCTGATAAATCTTACTTTAAAGGGACACAGTCAACCCCTTTAAGCCTCACAGTAAATATATAAGGCTTTAAGCTGTCCATACATAAAGGTCAGCTACAGAATTCAAGGGTCCCTTCAGATCCTAAAGGTTGTATTTGTTCCATACCCATGATGTGCAGTTATCTTGTAATATGTATCTCATGTGTTGCTGTTTACATTTTATAGGTATAGTAAGACATTTTATATCACATCAGTAGGAAATAAAACAAGAGAATAAATCTGTTTCATTGTAAAAAATGTTACCTGTATCTACAGACACTCCCACTGGTGTGATATAAAAAAAATATGTGCCATTCTTGGGATGAAATTCTGGCTACATTGCAGTCAGGAGGAACTTTATACTGACTTAAATGAGGCCAGGATTTCTCTCCTGCTTTTCATTTGCTAGTTATGACTATCCGTAACCCATTTGTGTCTTCCCTCTGCTCAACACTGAAGTGTCAGGCCTGTTTCATGACAAGAGTGTAATTTTTGCTGTCCACTGGCATGCCTTAAACATTGATCGATCTTGTATGTATTACACCTTTTGAATATACACACACTGTACACATACGTTCTCCGTTAAATAAAAATTTGATCTGTTCTGTGTACAGCATCTGGATTTTTTTTTCTCCCCACTAGATCTTCTTTATCATTTACTTTGCCCTAACCATAGGTCAACCTCATGTCCATTCTCCTGCAGGTGAGGAAAACAATTTTTGCTCACCAGGAACAGCTCCATATTACTGTCATCATTTTTGACTACTTACCAAAGTGACATAATTTGTTCATTTTACTTTTGCAACTCAGTTAGAAACCTAGTGGCATAGATAGAGACACAATACTACTGTTTTACAAGACATCTATTGTATCTACTTTTGTTCAGATAAATACCCAGTAACTGCTGATTTGGCAGGAGGATTGGTAAGGGTACTACTATTCACAGTGTTTCTTTTATTTTTTCCTTCTTCTTTAATCTACAGAATAAAGTATTTTATGTACATTGGAACCAGTTAATGCCCTTTAGACAAATTTGTAAGTTGTTTCATAAAGCAGGAAAGACATTGCAGGGAAATATGTGCCAAAAAGCACAGTCAAAAGGCTTCATAAGTTTTATATGTCACTACAAGTCAACGCTGGAGATCAGTTCTAAAACGACCAATACTCAAGAGGAATGTTCTCATCTGGAGAAAATACTGCCCATTCCCCCTTTTAGAATTTGTTCAGTTCTCTATCAAAAGTCCTGGCTCTTCATATATACTTTAAACTATAAATAAACACTGCATAGTTCAATGTTCTTGATTTTCTTTTTTGTTTGTTTGTTTGTTTGTTTTGATTTGAAAAATTATTGCAGTACAATTAATTCCTGTTTGGAGTTCAGTAAGGAGCAAACAGCACGGGAGTATGGGTGGTCCGTATAGGCCCTGGAGCTGGTCGTAGGAGTGCTGGAGGAAGTGCTGAAGTCTGGAAAAGGGTGGCTGCTGGGGCTGTGCGAAGACTGAAGGGGGAATTCACAGCCACAGCGGCCGGTTTTTTGCGGCTGCAGCTGCTAGCGGATTTGGTAAGATTCGTGGAGCCATCGGCTTTGAAGGTTCCTTTGAAAATACTAATTTTACCTGTGGGGAAGAGAGAAAAACAAACAAACAGAGAGACATAATTTGTTCATATTAGCTACACGACAGGGAGCTTGACTTAAGATCATAAGTGCAAAATCAAGCAAGAGAGGCCTTGTAGTGGCTACTGACTCTATGAGCTGCAAGCTTGTGACAGGAGATACGATCTTGTGCATCAGGCAAGGGTGAACAGGATTTTGTCGGGGACAAAGAGTTTCCGTGTTCACGCCTTATCACTGAGACTTATAATTTAATATGAAATTAGAAATCAAAGCAAACCTAAAAAGGGGCTGGGCAATCTGCACCTTAATAAAGCTGCATGTACCCTGCAAGAATTAAATGAGGAAGAATTAACCATCAATTAAAAAACCTCCATCTGGACAGCTTTATGATAGAGACCAGGGCAGAATGAAGACATATCCTATTCCCTAATCTGACTCAGAAGGTACTTTTGTTTTTATCATTAGGATGCAAGTTCTACTTAAAATTACGGTCTCCAGCTAGCTCCTCTTTATTAGCTCGTGCCTCTAATAACAAGTAAATAGACAAAGCTTATCTTGCACCAGTTATGAAAATCTCCTATGTTTCACATGTTCAAATAGGTGATGAATTCTATGGGTGCTGCCCTATGTCATCTTGCCGTGTCTTCAAATATTTTTCACTAAGATACTGTCCATTCTTACAAGGATGGTGAAAAAGTGCCAGATATTTTAAAATGCTGTCATGAAAAAAATCTTGCCTATATCACTTAGCATGGTGCCAACCCATATATTTTTGTTACTGTCACCAAGGCTTCTGCTTTGAAAATGTTTAAGTCATGAGTCTTGTGCGCTACCAAATACAATTTAGAAAACTTCTCATTTAGAGTTTCCAAAACCAAAAAAAACCCCAACTTGAAGCTTTTCCCAGACTGATTGAAAATACTCGCAGAGGTCCATTCTTATTTAAGAGAATTTACATTTGGTATACACACAAATGAACACCAGAGTAGTCTATATAGCTTTCTGCAGATTTCAGTGGGATTTCAAGTTCCTAATGAGACGCCAGGAGCCTGAATACCTTTGTTGTTCTGGTTTTATAACTCTCAGATAAGAATAGAAACCTCATCCACTGACAAAGAAAAGTTCCCATTGGCTCTGATGGCCTTTTGGTGTTTCTGTGTCCTGGCATGACCTGAGGCCCTTTGCAAAGACAACAAACCTGAACATGTGGTATTGAATTTACAGAATGCGAATACATGTAAGGTGCCATGGTACATCTCAGTGTAAGTATGGACACTTCTCACTCACAAGGAAAGACAATTTCTCACCCTTGAATTGAAAGGGGCTTTCAAATAATTAACTTGCACTATATCAGTCTGATATTTTCAACTCAACTGTACCTTAGTGAGTGAATAATCAGAAAGTAATGACAGGAGTACTCTAGCATGACCCATCAGTGAGTTTCATCATTACACTATCACCATATTCCAAAAAACGTATTGATTCTTTACCAGCCAGATGGATACAGGATTTTTACTTCTCCTAGTACCCATTGGCAACTCTGCTGGCATCAAGGTCCCTTAAAGCTCTGGGAGAGATACTCAGAGGGGACTAGATTCTGTAATTCTCTGAAGGAAGGACATAATGGATGCTAGATACAACATTCCTCGTGAGGAATTGCTTCCTATGAGAAGCAATTATCTGATCTTTTCTTTAATCAGTGTTACACCCACCGATCCAAGCTGTCTTCTTTCCTTGCTGAGCATTTGACTTTTTCCTCCTTCCTTACATTTTTTCAGTAAATACTTTTTTCCAGCCTTGTTTAGAACAGATAAGAAAAACAACCTCTCTCTCTCTCAAAAAAAAAAAAAAAAAAAAAAAAATCCTGAGTATAAAGCACAAAAAAAGCCCCAGCCCAAAACAACAGGGCTCTGATTGTGGTCTAGAATTCCCAGCGAAGGATGCTTTTCATAAGAGCTGTTTTATTGCAGAAAGTTTGGACTATCAAACATCTGATAACCTTTTCCTCTCCAGTATAGTATTTTATACATGCTGGGCATTTGTGGCTTGGAGAAATATCAAGTCCCAACATTACAAGATTTCTTAAACTCTGAAAGAGTACCATGGGAATTCATAAAGTTTCTTTCTCCGAAGCATGCAAAACTAGACTAGACAAAGCAGTACAAATGACATTGAAAACATGGCATTGGAAAGTTTTTGGTCTAGAAAAGCTATGAAAATGTAGTATGTCCTTCTAACTTCTGCAGAAAAAAAATTTGGTGATGCCTATACATTTTTTTGTCATGAAGCACAAAGATCCTGTGTGGCTGTTTATATTAAAAGGCCTGGACTACCTTGCCATTCCTGGAGGAATGAGGAACTTCTAATGAAGTTAGATAGTTTTTCAGTTAATTCATCAACATGGTTCTGATCTCAAGATAGCCGCAAAACTAGTAATATTTAGCATGTACGGCATCTTGCACTTTCATTTCAAACCTCTCTGCAAGTACTAATTAACACACAGGTCAACATTAAGAGTAAAGTAGCCATTATTCGTTTCATTTCCAATGAAGTAAAATAAAGGACAATAAATGACTTGGAAAACTAACGAGGAGTAAAGAAAAAGACTAGAGCTCATCAAAAACATTTACATTCAAAGTAAAATTAGCACATCTTTGGCTTGTTGCCACCATTCTGCATTTCAAGTGACAGCAATTTTGGAACTTTTTTCTATTCAAACCCCAAAAGACTAAATGGAGACCTGCTCTAATCCTTTCTCAGTGAAGCCTCTGCTCTACTACACATATCTGTTCATTTATGGCTAATCATTCTCTCCTTCTTAAACCCCCTTTACCTCTTTGCTCACCTCTGGCCTGGCTTGTATATCGTGAGCAATTGGGAGCGAGGGAGGAGGAGAAGGACACGTTGCCTTTGTTCATCTATGCAGCAACTAAATGGCCTTGATCCTTGGCTGGAGTTCTCAGAAATTGCCATTACATAAATTGGTAAATAGAGAACTGTTAGGAATAAGGTAATAGTTATTTTCATCCCCTGGGAAACAATGAATTTCCTGAAGGAATAATAATCCTGTCAGAGAGGCTTTAGTGAGTCCGTATCCTACTTACCTCATTACATATTTTCGATTCCTTTCAGTATAGCTTATATGTATTGGAGACCTTGGTATTCCCAGTGTATTATTGAAAATCCCTATCGGGCTATTTCCCTACTAGTGGATCTACTAGAATGGTGCACTGCATTAGGCTACAACATCTAGGAAATCTCCTACCCAACTGAATCGTGCATGAATACACCACTCACGAGGGCTGCCCCAACAAGGACACACTTCCTTTTGCCAAGAAAAGAGCTTTACATCAACTTAGAGTACTGGGTTTTCACAGAAAAAAACTCCATGTTCTGCCTGAATTAGAGAAGACGGTCAGGGCACAAGGAGTTAATCTCTACGAGGCCAATGGATCAACACCCCCCCCTCTGCCAAAACCACCTATAAACCCTTACAAAACACCACAGCACATAATACAATCATGCAGTTTATCTGATGCATATAAATGTCAGGTGTTTCACTATCTCACCCACAATATAACCTGTTTCTTAACTAATGGCAGGATCTTAGAGTATTTTTTATTAAAAAGTAAACCTTTTTCTCAGCTTTTGAAGCTAGTAATGACTGTGTTTCAGATAGTTTATCTTGGCAGTCAAAAATGTAACCAGAACCATCCTGAAACTGAGTAGAATGAAATGAGAGCTGGATTTTTTTCATTTTTTCAATTGTTATCTGAATAATTTTCTAAATAAGAATAGAATAAAGGTTTTATGTTTTATAGAATTTTATTTAGTTATTTTGTCACTATTGTCTTTGGTGAAAACTGGAAAAATTCTGCTTGACATCTGGGTATTTCTTTCATCTCTTGCTCTCTAATGACCTTTGAAACAAGCTTCTTTTCTGAGGTTACTTCAGAGTAGCTACACAAATGAGGACCCACAGGTTGTAGTCAACACCCATCAAAGTATAGAAAAAGTCCCTCGTGGGCTTCCATGGGCTCATTCAGACACTTGTATACTCCCATTGCTTACACTATTCCCTCCGTTGTAAGCATTTTTCCACTTATGCTTTCTAAAAACCCTACTCAGCAGAGTTAAAATAAAAGTAAAATAAAAAGGTGATTGGCTTACCCCTAGAGGATGTGTTCCCTTTTGGAGTTTGTTGTAAGGGCTGTATTTAGGTTTAGGTGGCTTCCCAGCAGCTCTGTCTTTGTGCCTTCTACTGCTTATGTGCTGTTAAAATACATTCGGGAAAAAGAAAAAAAAAAAAAGAGTGATAGTTCCTTAATAGATCATTTCAGGTTCTGCTTTACAGAAGGGTGCTCCAATACTGAAGGCTACTGCTCTCCACAAGAGCATTACTTTGACTCCTTCAATAACGACAGGAAATTGGGTCTGTTCCAACTCGAACGATCCTTTCTGCATCACATATTGGGACTGTGATTTTCAACAGTGCCCAGTTCAACTCTGCTTCCACTGCAGTCAATGATTTTCTCACCTTTGTTAACTTCAACAGGACCTGAATCAGGTCAAAGATAGAAGCCTTTGAAAAACTCCTCCCTATCTCTATAAAGCTCCCACCAAATTCAATCCACTGCTGACAGAAAGTTTTGGAAGAATATCAGATGGCACAGCATCCCCT